GAGGTGGCTGTGTAGCCATCGGAGGGAGAGCAGAATAGGATGAGGGTATGGGAGTACAACCTGTGTGTCGGCCAACGGTAACTTGGCGCTCCTGGGAGCGTACCGGTAGCGAGTATGATGTGGGCTCCTTGAGGGAGCCACCTGGCTGTCTGCTAACGGGGACTTGGCGCTCCTGGGAGCGTGCCGGTAGCAGGTGTGCTGGGAGTGTTTGGCTAGCAGTGACTTGGCGCTCAATGGAGCGTACCGGTAGTGAGGGATACTGGGACTCCCAAAGGGAGTGTCAGGGACGCGTCCGGGGTGGAGGGGGCCCGGCTGTAGCGCCCGGCAGAGGGACCCTCTCGGGGGACGAAGTGGGCGCGCGTACTGACGGGCCTGATCTGGGACTATAGTCCCTGGCCACTTAGACTGAAGTGGAAAACGTGAATTGTTATTAAAAGGAAGAACTACACTACTTACCTGAAGTGGAAAACGTGAGAAGAAGGTTACTTCTTCAGTTCCCACTTCAGGTACATTTATGTACATGCGGCTTGGGTCACGTGACAGGTGCCACGTCATCTGCGGAGAGGGCCGCAGCCATCCGGGTATCCCCGCGGGGGATCCCAAGGGCGTCCGCGCATGCTGGGCGTAGCGGGAGGTCGCCCGGGGTGTCCGAGCCGGACGGGTCAACAGTACAATGATACAAGGGAAGGTGGTCCGTGTAAATAGAAAGAATAAACAGAAAGGGAGAGTGAAATAAAGGAGGAAGAGAAAAGAGGGAAGAGGGAGGAAGGATGGGTAGTGGGGAGCGGGTGAGCGGGTGAGTGGGTGAGGTGGGCCCAGGTGGGCCCGGGTGGAACCGGGTCAGGCGGGTGTGCCCTGACAGGGAGTCACCCAGTTGGTGGCTATCGGTGACTTGGCGCTCATGGGAGCGTACCGGTAGCAGGAGTTGTTGGGGAAAGCAGGCTGGTGGACCAGTGCACGGTAGTGGGTGACTGTGGGAAGTGGGACCCGTGGGTGTGTGGCCAGGCATCCTGGAGCTGCCTGGACCATATCCTTCTCCTGAGGAGGTGGGATAGGCTACAGTTCCTGATAGGGAACTTCCAGTTGGATGGGAGTAACCGCTCGACCACCCGGTGGATTGGTGGGAGCGGACAGCAGGAGGTTGAGCATGGGAATGCCCTCCTCATTGTGGTTTTGTCATGGAGAGGAGGAATAGGGAGGTGGACATGGTTCCAGGGTTACAGGTTGAGTTTACAGTGGTGACACAAAGGTGAAGATGTTACAATCGCGGTACAAGGTTTGTGGGTTATGTATTTGATAATGAGAACAGTTCCGGCATCTGCCTTATACATCATATGACTTCTAACTATCTAATATAAAAATCATAATGGTCAAAGGAAATCCCTTGAAACTCAACAAATCCCCCAGCCAGCACCAAAACCCAGTGGGAAAGCTTGGCATGGGGTTTGACAAAGAAATAAAGTTGAAGGGGCTAAGGTTTGATTGTCTATAGTCACGGACCATAAGATTCTAGGTCCATTCCCATAACAATAAATGCCGAAAAGTATACGGCCATCCCCAAGAACGTGTGTAGTGCCTTCCGATTGCGGGGTTCTTCTAGTTCGAGTAAGGTGCGGACTTTCTCGTGATGTGTGGATAGTCTGAGTCGAGAGACCTTCTGTCCCAACAACAGGAGACTCTGGTATCCCATGTGACACTTGGGTGGGGAGAGTGTAAGGTTAGCTGATTCTATCGCTCCCAGAACCCTATCCAAATGATCTAGGTGCTGGCAGAAGGAGAGCGAGTAGACCACGATGTCATCTATATACACCAGGGCGAATTGCCATAGAAAGGGGGCCAAGACCTCCTGCATCACTCTCTGGAACACTGGGGGTCCATTCCTCCAACCGAAAGGCATTCTGGTGAATTGGTATAGCCCTCTGTGAGTACGGAAAGCCGTTTTGTCTCTCGACTCCTGATCGAACTCGAGTTGTGCAAATCCAGACAGGGCGTCGAAGGTGGACATGTACTGGGCCCCTGACAGAGCCTGCAAGATGTCCGTCTGCCTTGGAATAGGGAATTCATCGGGTATAGTAACTTCATTGAGCTTGCGCCAGTCTACGCACAGCTGGTTCTTCCCCTTTTGGCTGACGATTATGATGGGAGCACCCCAAGGACTTTGAGATGGTTCTATCACTCCCATTTCCAACCAGGAATCTAGTTGCTTATCGATGATCTCCCTCTTTAGTGGTGACGCGTGGTAGGGAGGGAGAGAGATGGGCTTGACATCAGGCTTCAACGATATGTGTACCTTGGCATCGTAACGTCCCAAGTTACCGGTCGTGGCAAAAGCCTTGGCATGGCGCCGCATGATCCTTTGTAGCTGCTCCTTTTCATTGAGGGATAGCTCCGGGTTAATGTCCACAACTTGGGTCAATGCTTCTGACCGCATCTCTTCCCCTGGTGGCGTCTCCGCAGTCTTGGGCCCGACTAGAGGCTCGAAGGCATCCACCTCGACTTCTAGTTGTTTTTGGGTCGACAAGCCAGCGGTCATGGCTTGATACAATGCACCTTTCCTAGTGAACTCGCGCAGCTGGTTCTCAGTCAATTGGTCTGCACGGTCTAGGACCTCTCATGGTCGCTGCATGGTGGCAACGATTTCACCCTTGGGAACTCTGATTGGATATGGATTTGGGTTGGTCAAAGGCAATCGGAGCAACTTCGACCTGTCTCACTGTGTACGGTTCTAGGGTCACATCTTCAAGCACCCAGTTCCTGACTTCGCCATCTTCTTGACCTCAGCCAGTGCATCTGGTAATAGCGTCACTTGATAAATTGATCGATGGTGCAACTGGCTCCTGAGGGGAACCTGGTGCTCCGAATCTGCGACCTGCCAATATTCACATTCAGGCGGGTGCATCATGTGCAGCTGGTAGGTTGTCTGTACGTCCTCGGCTATAAGCAATGGAACCGTCATGCCCTTGAGGACGTAGGCTTCCACGTCCCGCAACAGAACGTGCCCCAGCTGTGATGGTAGATAAAGGTCTATGACTGTGTAACCCTGACATTTGGCCTTTCCGGTCAGTTGGACCAAATTCAGCTTCATCCCTTGCCGGAGTCTGGATCCTTCGCTTTTAATGCGATCAAATAATTCAGCGGACATCAGCATGCAGGCGGCTCCAGAATCCGCCAACGCCTCGACCTCGTGGCCGTTGATGGTGTTCACGTGACATCGCACTCTACATGCATCAGATCCCAAGGACTGCTGACCCGGGGGACGACCAAACAACTTGTGTGCCTCATATATTTCACCCACAGTCCTGGTCACACCGATGAGTTTCTCCTCATGGGGAATTTCACCCCAAGTGCACGCAACAAGGTAGGCATCAGGCGTCTCTTTGGGGCTCTCTACATCTAGTACGTCCGCAGGATCTGAGTCGGACAGGGTACAAAACTCGGTGTAAGTGACTGCAAATTCCGCTTCCTGCCCTTCCACCAAGGCGGTATACGCCTGTCAATAGGAATGCTCCAACTTGGAGGGACCACCTCGATCCTTGCAATCACTCTTGGTCCGGTCCGCCTTATGAGGTGGACAGTCGTTGTCCCAATGCAGGGCACTCCCACAATGTCTACAGGGTCGAGGCGGCTTCTTACGTGATTTGAAGTCACTCATGGGGTAGGTGTGGCTCTCCGACGCTGCGGCTGCGCTTCGAGCTTCTACCCGATCTGTTCCACGTTTGTTCCTTTCGAGGTTCCACCTGGCAACCTTGTTGGCAATGGCGTCGATGCTGTACTCTTCGGTGGCCACCAGCTCATCGTGTTTGAGCATGACCATTCATTGGAGTGCCTCCGCTGTCTCGAGATGGTCGATGTTGACGTGAGCCCACCATCCTCTGGGAACGTCCTCCAATAACCTTTGGACTTCACCCTTCAAGACATCCTGACTTGGTACATCAGCCAGAGGGTAGAGAGTACACAGTAATCGCAACTTGCGTGTCACGAAATCGAGTGGTGTCTCTCTCATGTGACCCTCACCTTTACAGTATCAACACAAGTGGAAACGCTCTTGTATTTTGTCGATAAATGCAGGCGTCAAGAAGTAGTGTAATATGTAGCTGTGTAAAGCCTCCCAATTTCGAGTGAAATACAGCTTGTCGGCTGTTGGGACAGTAGTCCACCAGTCCGCAAGTTTGCCCTTAAACCTCTCGGGCAGGACTCCTGCCATTTGTTGGGTGAAGGCCGCCGAGTGTCTTGCTAAGTTTTGACAGATACTGCACCAGGTTATATGGCTGTCGATTGAGCCATCGAACTCGGGGAAATCTGACATAGTGTACTTATGATCGACATAAGGTTGTGTCCAGTTGAATGGGAGGTATGGCCTGATTCCTGGCATTTGGTGAGGAATTACGGTGCCTGGCCCTGGAGGTGGTGGAGGTGGAGGCGCCCCTGCCTGACCTCCTAGCATAGGCGGTGGCGGTGGCAGCGGCACACCTGCTTGACCTCCTGACGGAGGCGGCGGATAGTTGTGTGGAGGTGGCCCACCCTGGGCTAGAGGTGGGTCTGGAGGAGCAGGTGGCTGTGGTGGTTTGTCGCCTCGGCGATATTGTGGCCGCAGTTGGGGTCCAGATCTAACTGGCTCCATACCGAGGTTTATAGGAGCGAGAGGATCTCGAAACAAGGAGCGGGCGAGACCCGTATTGGGCCCAGGTCTGTTCCTATCGTTCTGATGCCTCTCGTCGGTGGGACACACCCTCCAACTCACCCACCCGCAAGAACCGCGCACTCAACCATTGACTTAACCATAGGCACACAGCAGCAAAACATGCGACCCCAACACTGGGGGTCATGTGTCCTTTTCTCTATCCAATCTCTTTCCACCTTCATTCTCCCTCACCCGTTGTTCAATCTCAGTGCAGGGGTCGCATGCCCCTTTATGTGTTATTGCTTCATCTCACTTTATTCTCCTTCACACCATTGATTACTCGATGTCTCATACTTCCTGGGTCAAACAAATTCCTTCTTCACATCCTTATGTTCTCCACACTTTTTTCACCCGAGTCACTATAGTACGGCATATGCCGATAGGCACGGTTACATACTCTAAAATGAATCCATCCATCCATCCATCCATCCACCTCTGTCTTTCTGCCCTTGAGGCCTTGAACAAACTCTGTGTAGTCCAGGTCTTTCTTGGGATCATGGAGTGTATAGGATTCACGTGGATGGTCTGTTATTGGTACGGTCCCTTCATCCCTTCGTAACATTGCTGCAGCGACGTTTATGCTTGGCCAGGGAACAGGGAGCTCTATTGGCAGCTGCTGGCGTTGATGTATGAAGGTGACTTCGTTGACTGCTGGTTCACACTGACTGTTTAGTTCCCAACCCAACATCTTGCGGGTCGACTCGTGGGTAGGCCTAATCTCTGTGGACCATGCCCTTTTGACCGATTCCGGGTCAGTGAAAGTGGTATGTGGCACACTGGCCAGCCTGAAACCGCCGAGCCGCGATTTGTCAAACTCTCGTGAAGGGTCGACAGCCCTTTTTATGGAATCTAAGTGCTTCTTGAAGGCATTGAGCCGTTGGTCAAGGAAGTGCCATATGATATCAAATTCCTTCTGTGATGCCCAGCCTTTCTCAGCCAGCATGAGTGAGAAATCGCCACGTGGGTCTATGACGAATTCGCCTGTGGCGAATTTGGTGGCAGCGGCCAGATGTGTGAACGCTGAAATCTTCGAGAACATATCAGTCAATCCTAGTCGATCTAGGGGCGCGAGCTGGTATCACAGTGTTGGCTTAGCACCATCATCGGGGACGAGTTCTCTTTCGAGCCGGGCTGGCATGATTCTCCGCCAATTACGGATTTTGGTCATAGGGGCATCGGGATCGTTGAAAACTCCACCCTCGAACTCTCTGATGGCCTCTATGATGAGTGTGAGATCTCGTCGCCTCCGAACGGCTTCAGGCGAGGTTCGCACATCACCCCATGGGGAAGATGTTGCTGCGGAGTCGGGTACCTGGTAGGAGAGGGTGTCTTGTGTGGATGACGCCAAGGTATCATGGTTGTGCATCGACTGAGCTGGCGTCCTTAGTGGCATGGTGTGATCTAGTCGCACCGGGGTTGGGGCACCACTGTTAAAGAAATGGGTTAAGGGCAATCCATTTCTTTCCGTCCTTATAGACGACTTGGAATCATCCACCTCATGTATGTAGGGCAGCCTAGTCGTGTAATTAGAATTGTCCGATAGCCTTGGAGCTTTTGACAGAAAGCTGAGACCTCACGATGAATGGGAGTCTGTTACGATGGATACTTGGTGCTCGTTACGTGAGCGTACCATGCGCAGGTGTATAGGATCACAGGTTGAGAGAATGTCCAGAACGGGACTAGTCAAGGACATAGGGCTAGCGGGTACTTGGCGCTCAAGGGAGCGTACCAGTAGCGAGTGAGATAATGGCTCCTTGAGGGAGCTTCCTGAGATTTGGTTGATGGGCACTTGGCACCCAATTGGGTGTACTGGCAACGAGTGATGTTCTAGCTCCTTGAGGGAGCTACTAGAGGCTGGGTTGATGGATACTTGGCACCCAGATGGGCGTACCGGCAACGAGGTATGAGACCGTTCATCTGGCGAACGGTCTGTATTCGTGTCAATGGGTACTTGGCGCTTGTAAGAGTGTACCGGTGACAGAGGGGTTAGTCAATCGTAGGTTGAACGACACATGGTGGGTTCGACAGCTACTTGGTGCTCGTGAGAGCGTACCAGCGACGAGGGGAACGGGCTTGTATCGAATACCAATCCATCTGTAGAATTAACCAGATGCTCACCGTAAGGTGAGGCAGACGTGAGCCCAGTACCTGGGTGAGCGACGTGAGTCGTAACACAAGGTGTTTGTGCATACCTGAGTTGAGTCACACGCGAACTCGATGATCTGTGGCTAGAGTCGTCAACCTCAGCAGGGATGACCCATATGGTGACCAAGACATACACAATCTTACACAGACGATACAGTGTTGGCACAAGGAGGTTTACAGTTGTTGCACAGAAGAGGATGGTGTGTTATTCGTTAGGTTCCATCTTTTCAGCTGTTGCCATACATGAATGTGATGCTAACTATTGAATAAGAAATGATCGCAAGAAATCTCGCGAAATAGAATACATAATCCGGCCAGCACCAAAACCCGATAAGGGAAAGCTTAGCGTGGAGTGAACGTGTAAGAAAGGGGGGGAAGCGGGGAGAAGGTAACAAAGAGAAGGGAGGATATGGAGAAGGAGACCCACTGTGGTGGACGTTCAGTCGACACGGTCGTGGGAGACTCCATTCCTATAACACTGCCTTAGGGTGCCCCGGACTCCCCACCTACTTTACTCCCTTTATTCTTTGATTGTTGCCTTGTTGCCTTTGTGTGTTGTGTACACATGTGCATGGGATAGCGTGGGAACTTTCTGAGCAAGCAGCTTGCCCAGAATGTTCCCATGCTTACTGGGCAATGCCACCTGGATGTTCCCTCCGGGTCACACTACACAACTCTAGGAGCTGTATAGTTGTGGGCATGTGACCCATTCCTTTATATAGCAACCATGCAGGGAGATGAGACCTTTACCCTTCTTCTCATCTCATGCCCCACATAGGCAAGTGTACTTTTCTACTATACATCTCATGCCCCACATAGTGTGAGGACAGGTTAGATGAAGGTTGAGGTCAGGGAGCCTCCGAGTCCGAGGCTGGGCCCTGACAAAATGCCAAGTGAAGGCCTCCCACTGCTGTTGCTGAAACCTTTTATTTCACCAACCCAACTTCATCAATGTTGACTGCCTCCTGACTTCACATTGCAAGGGTGCTGGCTTTGATGTTCTCTTCCTCCCAAAGTTCCACTGTGAATTAAATTTCATAGAACAGGTCTGGGGATTTGCTAAGTGGCTCTACTGTGAGTGCCCACCATCATCACGGATTGAAGATGTCGAGGCAAATGCAAAGGAGGCATTGGGTTTGGTGACAATCCAGGCAATGAGGAAGTAAGGGTTTTTATCATGTCTTTTTACTTCCATATTTACCAAGTCCTCCCAGGTTTGCTAATGTCAGGGCACACCCACCCGACCCGGCTCCACCTGCCCTCACCCAGTATCCCGCTCACCTCTACTCCTCACCCTCCATCATGGTTCCTCATCTCTTGTTCTTCTTTCTGTCCTTTTGTTCTTTTGTTCTTTTGTTCTTTCTTCTATCTTTATCTACACAGATGACCTTTCCCCATATCTATGTATTATTGACCCACCCACAACACGCGCACGACACACCCAGCCCTGGATGACCTGGACAGCCTCGGGGTGCAACCCAGCACATGCACGTGCAGCACATGCCCTCAGGATCCCCCATGGGGACACCTGGATGACTGCGGCTGTATGCAGGGTGACATGGAAAACCTCATGTGACCCAAGCCACATGTACATAAAGGTACCTGGGGTGGGAACTGAAGAAGTAACCTTCTTCTCACAGTTCCCACTTCAGTCTGAGTGGCCAGGGACCATCGTCCCAGACCGGGCCTGTCAGTATGCATGCCCGCTTCACACCCCGCAACAGCCTCAGTGCTAGGCATTACACCTGGGCCCCCTCAACCCTGGACGCATCCCTGACAGCTGATTGTTCTGTAAGATATATGGATGGATATCAGCGGGGACTCAATGGGTCTGAGGCAGCATGGGCCATCAAAAAGTACTGTGGCCACCACCAAATACCACCTGAAGCAACAAAAGAGATCATTAAAGAGTACATAAAAGCTAAACAGCAGATTCACAATTAAAATCAATGTTACCACCACCTGTTCCACATAGACTGAGCAACTTTGGCTGCACATGATCAGCTTGGATGTTTCCATGAGCTAATCACTTGTGCACGTCACCTATCTTATATAATAGTGCCTGCGGTGGGAACAGAAGAAGCAGCCTTCTTCTCAATTTCCCACTTCAGACCAAGTGGTCGGGGATGCTCACCCTGCAATGGGACTGCCACTATGTATAGCCAACACCTGTCCCATCGAGTCCCTTGCACCAGGACTTCGCCGCTTTCAGAGCTGTCCCTGACAGCTGCAGAACAAGGTGGACAGAGGTTGGAAGGATTTTTCAATGCATTTGTCATTGTAAATTACTTTTTGAATAGGTACCATCTAGGCCCTCTTCCAGATCAAAGTTTGGCCTACCTTCCTTAAAAGGCCCTCCACAAGATACATCTTTTGTGCCAAAAGGTCAGTTTTGGCCCTTCCCTGACTCAGACCTTGGGCACTGTGTGCCGACTTTTGGCCCTTTCCTGGATCAGGGGGTCCTCGGAGTATACCAGGGTTCTATTCATATGTGAGGGGTGGAGGCCTTCCACGAGGAAGCCCCAAGGGGTTCCGGATTGGTCATGGGTTTGGGCCATCGGCGGACGGACCGTAATGTTTGGGCCTGATTGAGGGAAGGCCCTTTTAAGAAAGGTCGTCAGATTATTCCTGAATTTCTGGTTACTTTCGGCACTGTGCTTGGCGTCTAGCGGGTATGATAGAATAGTTCTTGAGATGGATCTCCATTGAGCGAGGCGGTCGTCGCTGATATTGGCAAGAATTCTTGCGGGCTCGGAAGTCGGTCAGTTTGCTGTCGAGGTCGACGTAGTTGAAGAGGTCATTCCCATCTTGTGGGCTCTGGGCTGCCGCTGTTACAGAGTCCGGGGCATCTGCCGTGGCCGGGATTCGGGTGTCGTATGGGAGTTCGAGAGGGAGGTTGGGTGTATGATAGGATTTTGGGTGTCAGCCATCATCTGGTTGTCAGTAGAGCCCTTCCTACAGTAGGAGGGGGTGGGGGCGCGAGGCTTGGCCCTTGTATGTTGGCCGATCCGGGAGACCTCTGGCGTTTGGCTACTTCGAGTATGGACGTGGTGGGTGGGAGTACGGACAAGGGTAGTTCGGTCATAATGGGGACTCTGATTTTAGCCGCGAGGGCACTTTGTCGGTATGACTTGTTTGGGGAGCCGTCTACCATAGTGTCATCTTCCTCAAGGTATTTAGTGGGCGACGGTGATGATAGAGGGCTATCTTGCATATTGGCTGTTTGGGGAGGGACTGCTGTGTGGGGTGTTATTTGTACGTTATTGTATGTCATGGTATTGTTTAGGAGTCCTTGAGGATACACACCATTTTGGTGTACTTCCGCTGGTATTCGATGTGGGACGAGCGGTACTTCTGTATGTGTACTTCGTGGCAGTATGTACCTTATCTTTGCGGGATCATATTACCCGGATGCAGAAAACTGTAACAGTTTAACGTGTACCCTGCTCCTAGCCCCTACCGGATGGGGGCCCGACAGCGTATTAGGCTTAATATGATTGCCTTGTCAGGGTCCAGGGGACTTTCTTTTGCTGGTAGAGCCAGCGACTCATCCGGTTTTTTACAGCTGATGGTCCCTCTCGTATCTTATGCCCGTTTTCTGTTGTTTATTGTTGTCAGGGCCCGGCCCCCGTCCGGGGGCAGCCCTACCTCAAAGCTGGACACTTGCGGTGTCCCAGGCAGCCAGGTGCCAGATCCTATCCCAAGCTCCTCAAACTCACTAAGCGGGGATTGAGTTGTCATGTATTATGGAAGGTAGCTACAACTTGCCTAAGCGGGGATTGAGTTGAGAAGAAGGGTAAGTTTCCCTATTCCCCGCTTGGCTGCTATAAAAGGAAATGTACTGTACAGTTCGTAGCGTGACTCTGGGTAGAAGCCGAGCATGTTCCCGCGATGCGGAAAAGGTGTCACATGGGTTAAGGCGAGTTGCTCGCCTTGACCCACGTGATTTTTCCCACGGGTTCGCATGCGGGCTGTAGTTGTGAAAGATGGGAGGATGAGGGAAGTGGGGGGAGGTTAGGGAAGGTGGTTCTGGGGTTGTATGGTCAGGTGTGGTTGCCCTGACAATTGTGTACTTAGAGCGTATTGTTTCCGTTATCTTAGTTTAACGACGTTGCGGTCGCAGGTACTGACAATGGCAGCGCTGGTTGTCGGGAAGTCCTATGACTCCGTCCGGTCCACCTATCAACTACCTATTGATGCTGTGGATCCGATGGGAACGGCTCGCACATTGAAGAGCCAATACTAAAGGTTTTGTGGTATCGTTAAGGTGCCAGTAGCCAAGTACAACATCCTGGGAGCCACACTTTGAGAATGTACGAGCATTTGCATTTGCATTCACATTCCATAATTTCTGTAATATTTTGATTTCGCCAAGTCAGGATTGCAGTTCGCAAATCCTATGTATGTAACTATGCAAAGATGTTGTCGTCTCGGTAGCACTCACAATCTTGTTGGTTGCCAGATCCAAATACCTAATTAGTCGATGACAGTGTTGTTATTATGGCTCCTAGCGGATCAGATCCGATCCGATCCGGATCAGAATCAACACACTTTTCAAACATTGATCGGATGCCTCAACTGCTATATAACCTCCGATGGATTTCTTTCTTCCAAGTACCCACGGCTTAGCTACTCCCTGATTCACGCTAGGCAGATAGCTACCTCACGTCGTCTGCACTGGCTATTAGCAGCAGTACGCACTTCGCCAAAAATTGCAATGAGAGTCTGGAGTACCATCATCACGCTTGCTTTACATCCCATTGTCGCAGCTCATTTCCATGTCGGCGCACTCACTTCCCACAGTGGCCACGAACTAATTGCTCTGATCCCTTCACCGGGAGGTGAGGGCTAGCCGAAATCTGAAGTGAAATTTGCTCTTATTTAGGTTTGCACCACAGACATTGGCTGCAAAGAGGTACTTGCCACCTCAGAAGGCGGTGCTCTGCTCGGGACGACGATTCAGGGCACAGTTTGCAACCGAAATGTCACGGTTTTCACTGAGAACTGGTTTGTTGGTAACATCTCGTTCACTGCGCTGGATGGCAAGAGGGGGATTTGCTATATAGTTGGAAAAGCCTCAGCCTGTGGCGATTGGGTTTGGCACGATAATGTGTGGTGCGAAGCACCGGACATCTGCTAGTGCCAAGATCTGGAAGAGCCGGCACTTAGTAGGAATTATAGTGCGCATAGATGTGCCTGCATCCCAAAGTTGTGTCAACCAAAGGAGAAGTCCGTAGCTGTAGATACATGAAGATTATGTTGGAGGACAACCTTGAAACATGTATTTACAGATGTTTGTGCCGACAATTTTATTTAGCGGTCTACTGTCATCTTGTCCGACTCCGGCCCTGGAACTGCCATAACCCTATATTTTTCTATAGATTATAACAATAAAACAGTGTAGTGGCTGACCTCAGTCTCAAGCTTAATAGTGTTAGAGAACTGAGGAAGAGAAATGAATGGATAGTGTTGCAACACAGATTACACCAACCCCTTACACTTGGCATGCATTCTGTTTATATCTTTATTCTTTATTTAATAAACTGTTGAAATATCTTGTTTCTATAAGACGAAATGATGGACTAGCGAGTTTATCACTCAGTGTCAAAATGCGACGATCCTAGTGCAGACGGGGCTCAACTAGGGGGTTCCGAGAGCTCTGGTAGTGAACCGAAGCTTCTCCAGGAAGCCCGGGTCTGCAGGCTGATACAAGAGGCTCTTAGAAGGACACAGCCTCAGCGACTTGGAGGGGAGCGCTGTGCCTCCATTATGTTAGAGACCGGATTGAGACGAAGGAGTCATCTCTGTGGCAGAGGGCTTTGGCCTCAGCGACTCAGACCAGGAGCGCTGTGCCAAGTTACACGTCCATGCCCTAATTTACTTACTGGCAATGAGATCTAAAGAGGGATCAACTCTAGTCGATTTTATCACTGAGGTGTAACCTATGTACAAGTTAAGTATATATAGTTACAGCGAGGGTGGGCCTGTGAATGGTGGGGCCGAGCGGAGCGGAGCTAATGGAGTTAAACATTAGCTGATTGAATATTACCGACAAGTTGGGTTACAGGGTTAGTGGAATGGCAGGTGATAACCCAGAAACGGAAAGGAGGGATAGGTCTGAAGGTGGACTTGCAGGGCAAGCAAGTGAATTGCCCAGCAGAGGTGGGAGTGTGCTAGTGGACATTGGAGCTGTCCAGAAGCCTTCGGGTCTCCGTACTTAGGGAGGTGTAGTAATATATTGAAAAGAGGGGGTGGTGACCATCGAGGGAGGCGGAGGTGATTGTGGAATATGGGAGCTCCGAGGTTAGTGAAGAACGAGTGGAGGTAGTCCAGAAGGGTCAGAGGTGGTGGAAGACGATGGCCATGGATGGATATGACACATTACGTCTTAGTTAGTCCTTAATTTCAGATGTCTGAGGTATCTTGTAAGAGGGGACACAAATCACTCATAGGGGAGCTTGGGGGTGAGGTTTTAGTTGAGATTAGAACTGAGGTACAAGGTTCTAATCTACAGGTATATATAATAAGAGGACTTTAGCCAAAGTCCAAATGATACCGAAAGGTTCTGAAGGGTATCTTTAATGGGGAACTTGTGGGGACAACTCTGTGCACCCCAAAAAGTCAGATTCTGCAGATTCTACCCAACAACACACACTACATACCTGCCAATGCTTCCATTGCTCATTCCCTCACTATCCAACACTCCATACACTCATTCCTTATTTTTCCATATTTTCCCCATCATTCCCAACAGTCCCAAACCAAATTCCCATGCCCAACCACGCTGTCAATCTCACCCCCTCTCCAGACCTCCATAACCACACATTAAACCCAGCCGTTTTTCTACCTGTTGGTGATGCTCTACCTTCCTCCTTTACTCACGGAGCATTTCCCAGAATGGCAATCCCCTACTTGGATGGTTCAGCATGGTGTAGAGCCTCATGTGGTCTTGACAGCACCTGTCAATGGCCATATTGAGGATAGGCGGGCACTGTGGCAAAGTGTTGCAGAGTTAACTTTTACAATTCCCATTTCGGATCTGTTGTCATATTTTCCCCATTCATTCATATTTCTTTTATTGTTTCTCTGTTCCTAATTGGACATTCCTTATTTACGGTTTCCTAATGGCCCGTTTACATTTCCCCATTCCATTCATTCCATTTCCAATCCATATAAAATAGAAAATACCTTGTACATAACAAGTTAGTACTGAATAGACCCATGAAGGAGTAAAAAGCAGTTACATCCAAGTGGCAAAGACACCATCCATGACCCTCACACCCCCCTTGAGCTTGTTGCTAACATCTAAGACCCATCCACTCATAACCCTCAGCCTTGACGTCCAAGAGAGATGTAGGTGAGTGTTTAGTTGAGGTTCTAGCAGACCCGGTAGTGCCCCAGGACCAAAACCCAAACCTCCCACCACATATGCAATCACTACCACCCTCCCCCTTTCTCTGTCTTGAGTCTAGGCAATAGACTGTCAGGGCACACTGTCAGGGCACACCCGCCTGACCCGGGTCCACCCGGACCCACCCGGCCACACCACACCCGCTCCCCGCTGTCTATCCCCCTCCCCCCTCCTTCCTCCCTCTCCTTCCCCTTTCTTTATTTCTTTCTTCACTTCTTTCTTCTCATCTTCCTCTTCCTGTTTATTTCTTTCTATCTACACGGACCACCTTCCTTTGTATCGATGTACTATTGACCCGTCCGGCCCACACACCCTGGACGGCTTCCCGCTGTGCCCAGCACGCGCGCATGCAGCGGACGCTCTCGGGATCCCCCATGGGGACACCCAGATGCCTGCGGCTGCCTCCGAGGATGACGTGGCACTCGTCATGTGACTCAAGCCGCATGTACATAAATGTACCTGAAGTGGGAACTGAAGAAGTAACCTTCTTCTCACATTCTCCACTTCAGGTAAGTAGTATAGTTTCCCCCTTTAATAATAATAACACATTCTCCACTTCAGACTAAGTAGCCAGGGACCGCTGTCCCAGATCGGGCCCGCCAGTACGCACGCCCGCTCCACACCCCACGACGGCTTCAGTGCCGGACATTACCCCCGGGCCCTCTCAACCCCGGACGCGTCCCTGACACACACCCTGCCTGACCCAGCGCTGCGCTGCCCTACTCCGCTCCCCCCGCTACCACACCTCATTCCTCCTCTCCTTTTTTCCTTCTTTGTCTCTATTTCTATTCCATGGTCGATTTCCCTTTTCTCTATGTATCATCACACACCTAATACCACTCCCCCAATCACTGCACCTGCCATGCACATCCCCGCCTACAGAGTGGCACACCTTTGGGATCTCCTGCGGAGACACCCAGAGAGGTCCGGCTGTGTGCGGAGATGATGTGGCACCCCCCACGTGACCCTGACCGCATGTATATAATAGCACCTGGGGTGGGAACAGAAGAAGCAGCCTTCTTCTCAACTTCCCACTTCAGACTAAGTGGTCAGGGATGCTCCCCCATGATGGGATCGCCACTATGCACAGCCGACACCTGTCCCATCAGGTCCCTCGTGCCGGGACTTCGCTGCTTTCGGAGCTGTCCCTGACATAGACCTGTCACAACATCAGCCATGCTATAAGTGGAAGATGACTAATTAAGATGATGAGGGCAGAGTCACCAAGGGATATGGGTAGCTCCAAATATAACAAAATCTCAGAGGTCCATCAGGAGGTCAGAGCAATCTGGGGATTCCGAAGGTTCTGACTCGGGACCGAGCTTCTGGAATGGAGGTGGCTAAGGGTGAGTGTGCTGAAGTCCAGGCCGGAGCTGAGACAGTAGGGGCGGAGGTGATGTAGGAACATAGGGAGGAATGGTGTAGGGGATGGTGAGGTTGTTAGGAAGGTGTAGTGAGGTGGGAGTGTGTGGGGTCAGGATTCCAGGATATGACACTCAGTCCCATTGTACATGAACTAGCATATGTCAAAAACCCCAAAAGAGGGTGTGAGTCCGAATGCAGGCGGGGCTCAACTATGAGGTGTCAGGGACAGCTCCGAAAGCGGTGAAGTCCCGGCATGAGGGACCTGATGGGACAGATGTTGGCTGTGCATAGCGGCGACCCATCATGGGGGAGCATCCCCAACCACTTAGTCTGAAGTGGGAAGTTGTATTATCATTAAAAGAAAGGAACTACAGTACTTACCTGAAGTGGGAAGTTGAGAAGAAGGCTGCTTCTTCTGTTCCCACCCCAGGTGCTTGTCATATCCATCCCCGGCCATCGACTTCCGGTCCCTCCGTTCCCTCCGGTCTAACTCCGCTCCTCCTTCACTAACCTCGGAGCTCCCGTATTCCGCAATCCTCTCGGCACCCCTCGATGGTCACCACCCCCTCATTTCAACTTATTACCTACGCCTCCCTAAGTACGGAGCCCCAAAGACTTCCGGACAGCTCCGACGTCCGCTAGCGCACCCCCGCCTCTGCTGGGCAATACAATCGCCTGCCCTGCAGAGCCCACCTTCGGGCTTATCCCTCCTTTCCGTTTCTGGGTTATCGCCTGCCTTTCCGCTAACCCTGCGACCCGACTCGTCGGTAATATTCAGTCGGCTAATGTTTATCCCCGTTAGCTCCGCTCCATTCGGCTCCGCCAATTGCGGACCCGTCTTCGCTGTAACCATATATATATCCCGCTTGTACATAGGTTACACTCCAGTAATAAAATCAACTAGAGTTACCCCCTTAGGTTCTGATTGCCAGTCAGTAAGTTAGGGCACGGACGTGTCACTAGGCACAGCGCTCTTGGCAGAAGTCGCTGAGGCCGAAGCCCTCCGCTACGGAGACACTCCCTCATCTCGAATCCGGTCTCTGACAGTGCTATTATATACATGCGGTCAGGGTCACATGGGGGGGGCCACGTCATCTCCGCACACAGCCAGACCTCTCTGGGTGTCTCTGCAGGAGATCCCGAAGGTGTGCTGCTCTGTAGGTGGGGATGCATGCGGCGGGTGCGGCGATTGGGGGAGCAGTATTAGGTGTGTGATGATACATAGAGAAAAGGGAAATTGACCATGGAATAGAAATAGAGACAAAGAAGGAAAAAGGGAGAGGAGGAATGAGGTGTGGTAGCAGGGGGAGCGGAGTAGGGCAGCGTGGTGCTGGGTCAGGTGGGGTGTGCCCTGACATCACCCC